TAATACAGGAAAAAAGTCAGAATTCTGACTTTTTTCTCAGAATTCTGACTTTTTTTCACAGAATTCTGACTTTAATCTCATAATTCTGACTTCTTTCTCAGAATTCTGACTTTAATCTCAGAATTTTGGATCTTAATGTAGATGGGCACCACGAAGGTAGAGATGTGGAGCATTCAGCTTCACTGATAAAGATGTGAGTTGTTTGAGATGGCCAGTGACATACTGTATTGGTGAAAAATTACAGAATTAGGCAACTTTTGATGTGCCCGAGGGGTCCCCCTTATAAATGGAGGAGCAGAAGGTCATTAAAACAAGAGAGCTAGTCTCTAAAACAGACATGGCTATGGCTTGATGCTAACATGTTTGTTGTTAAACATACTTTTGTTATATTACATTTGTGTTGTGTTTTCCAAATAGTGTAGAAAATGGATGGTGGGTTTATAATGTTTACCTTTTATGAGCAGGACAGGAAGCAGAGAAGTGCTTTTATTTTTTATTTATTAATTTTTTACCAGATTTGTTGATTAATTTCAAAATTATGTATTCCTTCCAAATTTCCAAATCTGAAGAATTTTTTAAACCAATATCTACATTATTTAACATTTAGTTTGTTTTAGCAGTACTTCCTGTTATCTTTACTCTAAACATATATTCTGGTTATTTTTTTAGTTAGACCTTCTTGTTTTTATATATCTGTATAGTACCCCCCCCCCCCCCCCCCCCCAAAAAAAAAAAAAAAAAAAAAAAAAAAAAAACTGTAAATTGATTAGAAATATTAATCATCTGTCAGATTTCTGAGAAAAAAGTCAGAATTCTGAGATTAAAGTCAGAATTCTGAGAAAAGTCAGAATTCTTACTTTTTTACCCATGTTAAACTAAAAAAAAATTTAAAAATCAGTTAACTTTTTTTTTCCAGTGGCCCTAATCCTCTTTCGTACAAGACTAAGATGACTAAACCAAAAAGATTCAGTTTCTATATATGAAAGTGAACTGACAACAAAGCACATAGGCAGCATCCCGACAGACCATTTTACCTCTTTCACAAGTTTCTGACTTCTGTATCGCTGTTTCCCTCCCTTCTCGGAGTGCTCAAACACTCTCACTCAGCAGTTCAGAGAGGGGAGGGGGAGTACAGTGACGTAACGCTATGCTGCGCCTTCAAAATAAAAGCACGCTAGTTAAAAAATGTCAAAATCGAATATTTTGCGGTACAATTTTTTGAGGGGGACATATCCACCTGGCTTTTATATCGGGGGGGACATGTCCCCCCCGTCCCCCCCGCTTCCTACGCCACTGGAGGGAGACATGCATCTGGCTGTTGTTGAGCTCGCTGTCTGAATGACGGCGCGCACTGATACGAACAGAGAGAAAATAGGACCAATTGATAACGACGTGTGACTTTTTCCACTACAATGTTTTTGGGATGCAAAAATATCGCTCTTTTGAACACATAATGTTTTGGGAAGAGAAACGTTTTATTTCGCTGGGTCTAGCAAACCTGCCGGACTACTTTCGGCTTGACCAAAACTGGACGAGAACTCTGCTCACAGGACGCTGCCAGGGGTAAGTCAGTGTGATTGCATGACACTGGTGATGGGGATGCCATACAGATTCATGTCAAAAATCCCGAACTATCCCTTTAATGGCGTGTCGGATGAATGCGACCTGGTCGTTCAGACACAGGTCGCATGTGAAAAGATCAGATACGTATCGGATTCAGGACCACATAGCTTAGTGGCCTGGGTCGGATTGGAAAAATTCTGTTCTATGTTGTTCAGACTGTAATGAAAAAATTCAGATACAGGTGCTGGTCATAAAATTAGAATATCATGAAAAAGTAGATTGATTTCAGTAATTCCATTTAAAAAGTGAAACTTGTATATTATATTCATACATTACATACAAACTCATATATTTCAGATGTTTATTTTGTTTAATTTTGATGATTACAAATGACAACAAATGAAAATCTCAAATTCATCATATCAGAAAATTAGAATATTGTGAAAAGGTTCAAAATTGATGGCCCCTGATGCCACACTCTAATCAGCTAATTAACTCAAACCACCTGCAAAAGCCTTTAAATGGTCTTTCAGTCTAGTTCTATAGGCTACACAATCATGGGGAAGACTGCTGACTTGACAGTTGTCCAAAAGACGACCATCGACACCTTGCACAAGGAGGGCAAGACACAAAAGGTCATCGCTAAAGAGGCTGGCTGTTCACAGAGCTCAGTGTCCAAGCACATTAATAGAGAGGCGAAGGGAAGGAAAAGATGTGGTCGAAAAAAGTGTACAAGCAAGAGAGATAACCGCACCCTGGAGAGGATTGTGAAACAAAACCCCTTCAAAAATGTGGGGGAGATTCACAAAGAGTGGACTGCAGCTGGAGTGAGTGCTTCAAGAACCACCACACACAGACGTATGAAAGACATGGGTTTCTGCTGTCGCATTCCTTGTGTCAAGCCACTCTTGAACCACAGACAGCGTCAGAAGCGTCTAAAGAGAAACAGGACTGGACTGCTGGTGAGTGGTCCAAAGTCATGTTCTCTGATGAAAGTAAATTTTGCATTTCCTTTGGAAATCAAGGTCCCAGAGTCTGGAGGAAAAGAAGAGAGGCACTTCATCCACGTTGCTTGAAGTCCAGTGTAAAGTTTCCACAGTCAGTGATGGTTTGGGGTGCCATGTCATCTGCTGGTGTTGGTCCATTGTGTTTTCTGAGGTCCAGGGTCAACGCAGCCACATACCAGGAAGTTTTAGAGCACTTCATGCTTCCTGCAGCTGACCAACTTTTTGGAGATGCAGATTTCATTTTCCAACAGGACTTGGCACCTGCACACAGTGCCAAAGCTACCAGTACCTGGTTGAAGGACCATGGTATCCCTGTTCTTAATTGGCCAGCAAACTCTCCTGACCTTAACCCCATAGAAAATCTATGGGGTATTGTGAAGAAGAAGATGCAATACACCAGACCCAACAATTCAGAAGAGCTAAAAGCCACTATTAGAGCAACCTGGGCTATCATAACACCTGAGCAGTGCCACAGACTGATCGACTCCATGCCACGCCGCATTGCTGCAGTAATACAGGCCAAAGGAGGCCCAACTAAATACTGAGTGCTGTACATGCTCATACTTTTCATGTTCATACTTTTCAGTTGGCCAACATTTCTATAAATCCTTTGTTTTTATTGGTCTTCAGTAATATTCTAATTTTCTGATATGATGAATTTGAGATTTTCATTTGTTGTCATTTGTAATCATCAAAATTAAACAAAATAAACATCTGAAATATATGAGTTTGTATGTAATGTATGAATATAATATACAAGTTTCACTTTTTAAATGGAATTACTGAAATCAATCTACTTTTTCATGATATTCTAATTTTATGACCAGCACCTGTAGTGTCGCATATGGCAGAAATATCGGATTTGGGTCACTAATGGTTCAACAAGCACCGCATCCATGTGTACTTCAAACCCGGCAACACCCTGGGACAAAAACTGGTTCACCCCAAAGACAAGACGCCCAGAAACAAGACCGACAGCGTGGTATACGCCGTTCAGTTTAGTGAAGAGTGCAGAGACCTGTACATTGGAGAGACCAAGCAACCGACTCCTCAGAACAGGACTCAGCTGTTCAACTACTGAGGGCTAAAGGACACTCATTTGAGGACAATGTCCACATTCTGACCAAAGAAGACGGATGTTTTGAGAGATGGGTTAAGGAAGCCATCTTTGTTAACCTGGAAAAACCATCTCTCAACAGAGGAGGTGGTCTAAGACATAACCATTCACCTATTTAAGGGCTGGTTATCCTCCTGCAGCAGTGTGTCACAGTTAGCTTGTCGCAGGTATGATGCAGATATTCTTGATTTATGCCCAATTTTGAAGCGTGGTCTGCACTATGTTATTCCACCCCACAATACAAAAGGGACAACCACGAACTAGCTAGGATTGTGGGTGTCCCTGTATCGGTTTGACGAGCTTGTTCGCCGTCTAAAACCCCTCATCCAACGGCGGAAGACACACAGTTCACCCGTGAGTGTTCCCCTAAGACCGGTCGTGGCGCTGCGTGTTTTGGCTTCGGGTGCAAACCAACAGACTGTCGCACAGAGCTACAAACTAGCGTCCTGTACGGTGTCTGGGATAGTGTCCGAGGTGTTATGGACGGCACTACAGCCACAGTTTCTGCCATTAGGTACCAAACAGGAAATACGCATAGAGTAGAGCGGTTGAGAATTGACCAATCAGAGGCCTCCTGTCTGCGCTCACCTACAATTTTTGGGAGGAGCACCAGAGTGTCTGCGGAGGGGGACAATAACCAGAAGATTTACCTGCCCTCACCTGACTCACTTCGAAGAGGCATGTGATCGAAATCACTCTGAAAGGGGAATTTACGACCAATCAGAACGCCCTAACGAATATTAACCGCCCAGGTGACCTGCATGGCCAATCCAGTAGGAGGGATCAGAGCCACCATTTGTTCCCCCTCATTCCTTGTTCCACCTCCAGTATATTAATCTCATTGCTCCCCACAACTAGTTGGAACTGAAGAAGCCTCCTGGATGAGGAGAAACATCTTCTAGAAAACTTCACCTCCCTCTGCCTAAACTGAACTTTTCAATATTGAAGACTTTGGTTAAATATTTAATATTATGAGTTTAGAACCGCCTTGACAGACAGAATAGCAGGATTTTAAAGATGCAATTCAAACTGTGATAAATGGCAGTTAACTATGAAGCTTCTGCAATTAAAAAAACATAGTTTGACAGCCCTGAGGTTTATATATTTACTAATAATATACGTATTATTAGTGACTCAGCTGATGTAGTGACAGCCGCAGTGACTGACGGGGTCTGGTTGGTTAAAATCTGAGCCGATCTGACGACGCTACAGCAGGAGGAGTCCAACGTCTTCTCTGGGAACTAAAAGACCAAATATGGCGGCAGGTTCTACTCCTGTAGCTCATGTGGTCTGGATTACTGCTGCTCTCCTACCTGTGGCCATGATGAGTCCAGGTGCAGAGTCCTTGGATAAAATGGGCATCCTCCTCAGCTGGATGTTGAACAGCTGGCTCCAGCGCTGGGCCAGGTGGAGAGAGCAGCCTTTGCTGAGCTGCGGGAAAAAAACAGGAATCAGACGGAAAAAAGGAAAGCTGTTTTAATAAAGCTTATAGTCATGGCTGCCATGTAGGAGTAGGGATGGGGATCGTTAATATTTATTGATATCGATACCTTTATCGATACTCCTTATCGATCCGAGCCTTTATCGATACCACTATCGATACTTTTCTGTTATTTGGTGGAAAGACGATGCAACAATATGTTTTAAACAGAACTGGTATTGCTTCTATTGCTTAACAAGTGAGCATAACAAAAACGTTTCTAGCCTTCAATAAACATGGCTAATGTAATAGGCCACTTCGAAATGACATAAAACTAACTAGAATATATTTTCACAATTGTTGGTTAATGTATTGTCTACTGTCACTTTTCATCATGTTTTTAGTGATTAGGAAAATATTTACAAATAAATAATTGTATTTTAAATTAAATGTAATTTTTAATAAATGTTGGCATCAGTAGTTTAATTAAATATAGAGCAATATACAACTGTATTACTCATGTTTCTTGCCAAAAACAAAATTTCCCGTTTTCTTTACGTTACACTTGAACGCATCATGATAACCTAATTGTCGTTTTACTGAGCCAATCTGAACACATCATCACGCAGCACGTCTGAAACTTTATTTATTTTTCAAGCTAACTAGCTTGTATGCTTCCGATTACAACACGGATTTCACAATTAATATTTTTAACTGACCGGACAAGCTACAAAGTCTGTGTGCGCGCTTACCAGTGGTACTCTGAGTGGATGATTAAGACGGACAGACTGCGGTGCGGGGGCAGCCGCAGGAGGAGGAGGAGTCTTTTCCGTTCAGCCATTCTCGAGTCACGAGCAAAGTTAAGTGCCAGACTTCACTTGTTTTACTTTTAATATCTGTTTGCTTACAATTTCATTCCAAAACATTGGTGGACATGCTGCAGTGATTGGATTGATTAGATTTAAATGCTGTGACGCGACTCGAGGGACACACAATTATGTGACAGGACCTCCGGGAGAAAAAAAAAAACGACCAGACTCGATAGTGGTATCGATAAGCCCAAACATTATTGATTTTCGGGTTTTGAAAAAAGTGGAACCGGGTCCTTGATGGAACCGGGTTTCGATCCCCATCCCTATGTAGGAGTGGTGGTACGACTGAGCTCCAACAATCCAAACTATATCAAGAAATCACTCAACATCCACCCTATTTAAACATGTTTTTGAGCTGTTCAAGACACTGCTGCCACTGGATCAAAAAACATTTTTAAATTTGGTGAAATTTCTGGACTTTTTCAGCGTAAGGAGCAACTTGTTGGTAAGCTACGGAAGAGGATTAGGGCCACTGGAAAAAAAAAATGTTTTTTATTTTATTTCAGTATAGTATGGGAAAAAAGTCAGAATTCTGACTTTAATCTCAGAATTCTGACTTTTTTCTCAGAATTCTGACTTTTTTTATTGTCAGAATTCAGTTAGAATTCTGATATTAATCTCAGAATTCTGAGAAAAAAGACAGAATTCTGAGATTAAAGTCAGAATTCTGATATTAATCTCAGAATTCTGAGAAAAAAGACAGAATTCTGAGATTAAAGTCAGAATTCTGAGAAAAAAGTCAGAATTCTGACTTTTTTCCCATGTTAAACTGAAATAAAATTTAAAAATCAGTTAACTTTGTTTTGTTTTTTTTCAGTGGCCCTAATCCTCTTCCGTAGTAAGCAGACACCATTACCAAACTTTTTATTTTTCTTTACAAACCATCTAAGGAAAACATTTGGTGAATAAATGGAAACTGACAAATTGGTACAAGATGTGGAGGACATAAATAAATCTCTGAATTTCATGTCAAATGAAATAACTACAGTATCACAGCAACAAAGCAGCCTGCTAGAGGCCTTGGATCAAATCAAACAACTGATGGCTTTAATGCACGAAATGGACAAAAAAAATTGAACGGCTGGAAAGAAGAATTGATGACTTGGAGCAGAATTCAAGGATGGATGATCTCCTGATCTCAGGGCTTGAAGTACGGGCCACAGCAGGTGACAAGAAGGAAGATCTGGATTCTTCATTGGAAGAAAGGCTGGGCGATATGGCAAAAATAAAATATCACCATTTTTTGATTATTATTGTGATCTCGATTTTATCACGATTTTTAGATACGACTAACATAACTTCAATTACATGCAAAGAAGAGAAAAATGAAATAAATTAACAAGTTTATTAAAATTAGAGAATCAAAGTGGTGCTAACAAACTTATTTTTTAAATTTCTATATTGTAAACACACAAAAGAGTATAAAAATGCAATAACTCCTGAGTAAAACTATTACAAATTAGCTACATTTTTCAAGTTACTACAGTCAAAATAAATAAAAATTCTAACTGTATCTTAGTGCAGTTTTATTACTTTAAAATCTTGACTGGTCTAATAAAGTAAAAGAAAAAAGAAAGCACAGAAACTAACTTGGGGGGCGTAACTGATTTTCAAACTAACGGACGAACGTCAAACCTTCCGATTATATTCTAGCTGTGAAGGTTTTTTTTTCTTGCTCTTAAATGTTGTCAGTGGCAGAAATACAGCAGCGCTGCAGTTCTGTGGATCCTGATAAAATGGTCTCTAAATAACGACAGATCGTCAGAGGTGGAGGTCGTAACACGGTCTTAAACCGTCACATCGCCCAGCCCTAATTGGAAGATCAGGTAATCAAGTTCATTAACAGCAAAGACATCATCACTGATAGTGAAGACATTGTTGCTTGCTATATTTTGGCTAAAAAGCCAAATGTTACCATTAGGCTCGCAAGAAGGAAACTCAAAATGGAGGTGCTGAGAAATGGAAGGGTATAGATGTTAACCTGAATGAGCACCTCACAGAAAGAAATTCTGAAATTGCAAGACAAGCAAGGATCCTAAGAAGAGAGAAGATTGATAAAGCTGGATGGAACCCCGGAACAAGCAAAGGTGATTGTTGTTAAAGATATAACAGAACTTGAACTACCGTATTTTCACGACCATAAGGTGCACCGTACTAAAAGGCGCAGTCTCAGTTATGTGTGCCATTTCTGTATTTACACACACATAAGGCGCACCGGACTATAGGGCGTGTTTTTTATATACAGGTACATGTCCTCTACTACCTTTAAATACCTCTACTGCGTATTTAAAAATACAGCGGGGGCAAAACTGAGTATGATTGTGCTTTATTCATGTATTTATTACAAACTATTAATCAAACCCATCAAAGTCATCATCCTCTGTTTCTGAATGAAACAGCTGCACTAAATCAGACATGCCAATTTCCCCTTCTTCGCTGTCAGAGTCACTTTCCGTGCCGGGCGGCTCCTCGAAAATTATGCCGGCTTTTGCGAAAGCTCGAACAACAGCGCCAGCAGACACGTTAGTCCAAGCATCTGCAATCCATCCGCAAACGGTGGCGTTCCTTTCTCTGCCTTGCAGCTATATTTGCTGTGATCAGTGGGAATAAAGTAGTTTTAATATGTTTTTAAGTGGGAAAATCCACCTGAAAACTGGATAATAAAAGCTAACATATTCTGTCGGCAGGCTAAGTTAATTTAGGCGTCAATAAACTGTTTCAGAGGAGCGATCACAGCACTCTTATATGTGTATCATCAGCGCTGTGTCTGTCTCGCTGTCAGCTCCCAGATCAGCTTCTCTGATTGGTTGATGCGGCGCTTCCAGCAGCAAAACTTCAATTTTTCCATCTCGAGCTGCAGCAGCACGTTGGCGGTGCGTCAGATGCTTAAACGCTCCCGACGCGCAGCGCCTGCTGCTCAAAACGCGCTGCGGGACCTTTTGCTGCGTCTATACGCTCGTCAACCATTGACTTTGCATGTAAACTCGCTGCTTCTGCTGCACCTGCTGCGTTCGGTTCACACCGATGTCGTGCGGTTGAATAACAGCGAGCACAGCGTTCATTTGTTTCCCCATGTTTTTCACATCAGCTGTGAGATGGGCACGCATGGAGTTACAGATTAACAGCGATGGTGATGAGTGGAAAAAAAACACCTGGTCTCCTTACATTCAGCCACTCTTTCATCATCTCCTCAATGAGGTGGTCTCAAAAGTCGCAGTTACAACACACATAGGGCGCACCGCACCATAGGGCGCACCGCACATTTTGAGGAGAAAAAAAGATGTTTATATGCGCCTTATAGTCGTGAAAATACGGTATATAAATAACACGTCATCAGGATTAACAAGGAAGACATGATGAAAACAACTCATCATATACGGATGACAAAGAAATAAGACCTGCAACAAATTTGGATGAACCAAAATCCTCAACTACTGAGAGCAACAGCAGAGACTTAATGAATGTTCTGAAAGCCGACATTACCAAATGTTTAATTAGACGGATTAACTGGATATGCAAGATGATATTGATCCACAGAATTATTTTTACACTGGACTACGTATTAATTGCAAATATTATACTGAAGATCAGTTTGAAAGCAGTGTGATAACTAAAGATAAAGTACCGGTTATCAATTTCAATTGTAGAAATTTAAATTCAAATTTCTCTAAGATTATTTACTGGTTGATACAAACTAAAAATACATTTTCTGCAATGGCAATTTCTGAGACTTGGCTTCATGAAGAACAATCTTCTATGATTTAAATGCAACGAATTTAAAATGTACTTTACAAGTAGAAACAGTCAAAAAGGCAGGGGTGTTGCGTTATATATTCAGGGCTCGATGTGAACCATCGCTCGATCTCCCGGGGCAAGTAGTTTTTATTGTTGCCATCATTACCATCTGATGGCAAAACAAAATTATTTTTCACTCAGAATTACTTTTAAATCACCGACATTTGATGAAAACGACCCAGAAGCGTTGCCGGCGCCATTTTTGTTGTTTTGTACACATTCTCGCGTGATTTTCCGCGGGAATTGGCGCGAATCAGACATTTTTTTCGACTTGGCAGGCTAAAAAACAAGGCAAAAAAATGTGAGTGGACTAACACACCCACCACCTATTTCACCCTCCACCCAGATAACCCTAGATTAAAAATGATCGGTCAGGTATTAGGAAAATTGGCATAATTGTTCGCCATGCGCACAGTGTAAATATGGCTATCATACGGCAGTCTTCTGTACAGTGATGCAGGTCATACATTAAAAAATGTTCATTAATTTTTTTCTCTCAGACATTGGAGATGTGCATTTAAATGTTATAGAGCTAAACATGTTAGATTGGTGACCTGTCATGTTATTATTATTGTCTTGTTGCTGCATTTATTTTGTCAGGGAAAACTAATCCTGAGTCAGTTAAAAGTCAGGGAATTCTGAAATGATGTCAGACTGTGGAAACCCTGAATAAAATAACTATGGATAATGATTCTCTAGAAAAGTCACATTATATTAATCTTGTATAAACAAAATAAAAGTTATTCATTTGTGACATTGACTTCTGTCTTGTGATTTATCTTAAGTTTTTAACCTGTCAAGTTTTTTTTTAGATTTTTAACATTACAATTTATATTTTTCCAAGCACACAACAGTTTAAAGCAAAATTTAGTTTGAAAAGAATGAGCAGGAAGGATTGAAAAGCATGTTAACACGGTAATGTAGGCTGGAGTTCATTATCTGACGCATGCAGATACACACCAGGAACCTGGAAACTGAAAAAATACTGAATTACAAAAAACATTAAAAAACAAACATTTTTCATTGATATATATACAAAAATGAATATTAGGAACTATATTTATCAAACATTATACTGGGCAAGTAAAAATTGTTTCTGGGCAAATGAAATGTGAAAGCCACTTGCCCGAAGGGCAAGTGCTGAAAATCCTTAACGTCAACCCCTGATATTAAACAAAAACTTACAGGTAAATTGGTGAATAACGTGTCATTTTCTATTGATATAAGTATAGAGTGTTTCTGTGGAAACTGAGATGGAAAAGTCTAAGAACGTAATAATCAGCTTAATTTACAGAAAACCAGGATCCTGTGTTGAAAAGTTCAGGGAAAAAATAACTGGCATAAATTAATGGCATAAACAACAACAACAAAAAATGGCTTTGTAAGCAGAGATTTTAACATTGATTTGTTGAATCCTCAGATGCAAAATGCTAAAACAGATTTCATTAATTCCACGTTAAGTTTAGGATCGTTTCCATCAATCACTCCACCAACTCGAAAAACAACAAATAGTGCAACATTGATTGATATATTTTCACTAATGTTGTAACATAACCACTATTATTTTTTTTCTTTTTCTATAAAGTACATTAAAGTGTACCGATAACAAACTGTCTCGTAGAACAGTTAGTTCATTGGTATTATTATTTCAAATCTCCACTGGATAAAAAATGATGATGGGAATTAATATACTGGGTTATTTTGGTGAGGAGAAATTTCTCAATAAAAAGGGGCGTGTGCGTCGGCGTGCGTCGGATGCTTAGGATCCTTAGGATCCAGATCAAAGTTATCTAAAAAATTGGTAGCATTATATATTTAATGTTAATGTTCACATCTCAAGTTTAAACTGTCTGATTTACAAGTTTGCACTTTGTGTTTAATGTGACAGGAAAAAATTAAATACATGAGAATTTTGAAACACAGTTGAACCACTTTCACTATTGTTAAACTATTCATACTGTTCTAAAAACTAATTAGTTGCCAGTACATGTTCAGGGTCTGTTTTTGATCAGGGTCAGTTCTTATGATCTCAGAGGGAAGAAAATGTTCAGAAAACCAAAAGCAAGAACTAACGTAAAACAACATTGTTTTCTTTTGTTTGGGTTGAAAGTAAAAGATTTTATATAAACAAGCTTTAAAAAGATATTTAAGAATAATACGATAAAAAAATTATGAAACGTGAATGCAATTTAGAGCAGTAAGATATTTGGTGCGTTACCTTTTTTTTGTCTCCTTTCTTTTTCCTAAAAAATTATTGCAGAATAATAATTTTTCCTAAAATAATAATAATAATACATTTATTTAAAGTTAAAATCTCAAAGTGCTACAGGTAAAATCATCAAAGAAGAATAAAATCAAAATGTAAAACTATATAGAAAATAAAATCAATAGCATACTTGTAAAATGTTAAAAAAGAATATAAATTTTTTTAATCTTTTTAAAAAGTCTGTATAGTCTGTGGTTCCCTCAGATGATCACGGAGGGCAAAAAAAATGTTGGTATGTATTATAAACGGTCGCCATCTTTTTATCTTTATTTTCTTATATCTTTGTAAACTGATGTAAATTGGCTTTGGAGGGCGGGCATTATAAGATTCTTGCTTCTGTCAATACACCCTTTTTCAGACTGTTTTATTTTATGTTACATGGCTCAGGTTATCCTGAGCTATCTCTATAGTTCTGCTGCTATAGGCTTAGACTGCTGGAGGACATAGGGACCCCTTTTTCATCATTCTGCTTCATTCTATCTCTATTCTCCCACTCTGCAGAATCTGTTAGTTCAATCTCTAACGTTCTGCTCTCTCTGCTTTTTCTCATAGTAGCTTCATCTGGTCTGTTCCTGTTTGGCTGTGACTCCATCCTGGAGAGAAATATCAGCTGTGCTGCTGCCATCAACACCTTTGTTTCTAGATGTTGGAGCTTGGCCTGTTTTCCAGTGTAGTCCTGTTTCTCTGACTGTGACTAACTGGATGTGCTCTCTTCATCCTCTGACATGGGAGCTGGCTCGGAGCTCGTCTGCCTGGCTGTGTGTTTCCTGGACGGGGCCGCCTGTGGAGCTGGTTGACAGTTGCCTTTTGTATCTATGCTTCTTTTTCTATGTCTGCTTCTGTCTCCTTGAACCCCAGTGGGCCTCAGCAGATGGCCGCTCACACTGAGCCTGGTTCTGCTGGAGGTTTCTTCCTGTTCAAAGTGAGTTTTTCCTCTCCACTGTCGCTACAAGCATGCTTAGTGTGAGGGATTGCTGAAGAGTCAATGAGTCGATGCAATCAGCTGGTTTTCCTTAGATAGAAAACTTTGAATCAATCTGACTGGATGATCTGGTGAACTGGAAAGTGACCTGAGATGACATGATGTGAATTGGAGCTATAGAAATAAACTGAATTGAATTGATTGACATCTTAAAAGTGTCTGCAGAGAAAGGAGCCTTTGATCCACGGAGACGAGGAAAGTTATCATAAAAACACCAACCAATGCGTGAAAGGCTATTAGAACTCCCAGGATGCACTACTTCCTTTTGCAGCCTTGTTATTGCTGTGACCTAGAGATGATCTTTTTCTTATTCCGGGGATCAAAAACTTCCCCTTTAAAACCTTGGCGAGGATCAGCCGTCGGCGTCGGTCATACCTGGCAGTCCACGGTCCCTCCCAGGCTGTCAGCGGCCGGCGCCTGCAGCAGCTCCCATGTCCCCCCCTTGTCAAACGTGATGACGGAGCGCATGTTGTCCTCGCTGACCGACCCGTTGATGAGCGTGGCGATGAAGATTCCTCGGAGCCCCTCCACCCGATGCAGGTCTGCAAAAGGCTCGTTGGCGAAGTACCTGGAACAGCCAATCAGAGTCTGTCAGGAAGTGAGCGGGTCGCATGGAGCAGGTCAGTGATCATTTAAACAACAAGCCGATGATGTCATCATGAGAAAAAAAAACATGGATGGAGGAGAGCAGGAAGTTTCTGAGGAAGAACATGGTGGTTTGTTGTTCTCCACCGTTACCAAGCGTCTCACAGCAGAGTCCAAGAGGTTACCATGGGAACAAGCAAACAGGTCACGCCTGTAGGCTATTAGCGCCTCAACGGATTCAGTAATTTTGTTGTAATCTGTGTTACAGCGGCTAAAGTCCTCTAACCTGCTTTTCATTACCAACACGTTGGCGTGTTCCAGATTAGACCGCCATGTTTCCAGCGTTTGTTTCCTCCATCCTGCAAAGATGCGATCAAACCCAGGAGGAAAGATTTCATCAAGAACTCTTTAAAAATTCTGATGTATTTTACATAAAAACTGCTTTCTGGATGCTTTGGTAGTAGCTACCTGAGAGGAAAGCACGGCCATAGAAAGTATTTAAACCCCTAAAGCTTCTCCAAACTGTCTTTATTAGGATCTTTGTGTGAAAACTAAGGAGTAAAGCTGGATGGTTAAGTAAAAGGAAAAATTTATGGTTGATATTTAGAAGAAATCCCTAGAAATATAAAACTAATATGGCTGCCGTCGTTATTCAGACGCCAGTGCAGCTGATTTTCATCTGACCTGTGAGTTCAGTAAAGTCTCAGAGCAGCCGTTCTGTTTCTGCATGATAAAGACAGAGGAAGACCACAGACAGATCAGAGAGGAAGATGAGGAGAGATTTAAAGCAAGATCCATCCATCATCCATCCATCCATCATCCATCCATCCATCCTCCATCCATCCATCCATCCATCATCCATCCATCCATCATCCATCCATCCATCCTCCATCCATCCATCCTCCATCCATCCATCCATCCATCCATCCATCCATCCATCCATCCATCCATCCATCCATCCATCCATCCGTCCATCCATCTTCTTCCTCTTATCTAAATAAGACAATCCACATGTATCGGTCACATCATTAGATCAAACGCCGTGTGTCCCAGGGCCCTGGTGCCATTACAGGAAGGAACAATGTCAGAAAAGGCCTTCTGCTGAAAATTGGAGCGAGCGTGGAGCGATTTCGCCGAAGCAGCAGGAAAAGTGAGCACAGTGTGGATTTTGAGCGGTGCGTCCTGGCAGAACTTTGAGCGGCGTAGCGAATGAGCGAACATCCTCCTGAGCAGGGAGCAGGAATTGCGCGGCACTCCGCTCCGTTCACATGCTCTGGCCTCCTCCCGGGGGGACGTACCCAGAACACCTCACCAGGGAGGCGTCCAGGAGGCATCCTAACCAGATCCCTGAGCCACCTCCACTGGCTCCTCTCGACTTAAGACCATGGAGGACTTTGTGATTTCAGCCAAGCATTGCAGGAGAGCAGTGGAAATAAACACATGCATGAACCAAACTTTTTAACAGATAAAAGCTTTCCATGAGTTGGCGGCTGGATTATTCAGCAGCTTTAAACAACAGAATGCCCATTTTTTTAAGCCAAACAAGCCGTAAAGTCAATGAGAGGTCAGAGTACGTCTGTCAGAGAGGAGCTACCAGCTTCCCCTACTGACATAAAGATTTAATTGATGGGAGACGCCATGCTACTGGAAGACATAGAGTTCAAAGAGTCCAGGTACGAGGATTGATCCCTGAGGGACGCCGTAGAGTGAAACAGAACCACCTGCCCACCAGATGTGGCTTAAATATTCATGCAGTCCCACCCATAGACAATATATATGAAGACGCCTCATTGGATGAGGCACTGAAATTTAAATGTTGTATGTTTGTACTTACTGTTTCAGTGTTAAAATATATTCAAAACACATTTTTGACTTAAAAAGAAGTTCATTGTCATTATTTCTAAACAGCTGAAATTTCATTTGTTATTTTCTCTTCAAGCTAAAAAATCACATTACTATTTCAAAATTCAAACTCCTCAGATTCAACTCAGTTAGCGTTAGCTAGCATGACCGGCTCCGTCATGCTGGTTTTCCTTCCGTATTAGCGCCACAAACGTCACGTCACGTGACTAAGAAAACGTGACGGGATTGGCTGGGTGTTGGACGCCACAATCCGTTGCTAATGTCTGTGACCTGAAGTAACCCTTCCCTTTTTACACTGAATTTAGACGCCAAATCTAAGACGGTGAAATAGAGCAAGTTGAATCTCAGGAGGCTGAAAATATTGAGTTTGAATTTTGAAAGATTGAATTTTTTTATATGCAGATTTTTTCAACACTGAAAAATTAAACTGAAAAATAAGTATTGAAAATGTAATCACTTTGAAATAGTAATGTGAATTTTTAGCTTGAAGAGAAAATAACAAATGACATTTCAACTGTGTAGAAATAATTGAAATGAATTTTTTTTTTTAGGCCAAAAGTGTGTTCTGAATATATTTTAACACTGAAACAGTAAGAACAAACATACAACATTTAAATTTTAGTGGCATTTTTAATTCAAATCCCAGCGACACACAGATGACGCATACACGCGCTGCTTCTTTTTTAAAAGATATAAGTATAAATAATCTAACTGTGGATGTCTGGGGGACAGTGATTGGCCTCCATGTTCTGAATGCTGGCGTACCATAAAGAATAAATGATGAACAGTTTAGTTTGTGCCTTCAAGTCGTTGCCCAAAGGAAGACGTTACTGGATATAACCTAACGGAATATCTTCAGAACGGCTCCAAATGACACCAAACTCATATGGGTGAGTAGAACATGATGGAATAACGGAAAATCAAGGGACCAATGTAAAAAAAATGGTGTTCCCCTTTAAACCTCTGTGATAATCCTGTCCTTTGAATCCTGGAACATTTAAACAACTTTACTACAAAAAAATGAAATCTAAATAAGTCATTTTTTCTTAAATTAAATCAATTTTTTCTTAAATTTAGGAGGTACATGAGAAGCAAAACAATTTACATTTAGAATAGGAAAATCTATAGCATTGTCTTATTTCAAGTAGAGGTGGGCAATATATTGAATAAACTGCATCTCGAGTTTTCCCATGCACAATAGTCATACGTCAGCCTGAACACCTAAATTTGGCCCATCATATATCAACGGTCATCTGTCAATCATATTTTTTTGATTGACAGATGCGTGGCCTGCAGACAGGCTAAAGTTAGCACCGGCTGTACCCCACCTTAAATATCTCTCCCGGTGAAAATAGCGGGTTAACGTGTGTTTTCAAACATGGTCGCCCCGCTAACAATAAGCATCTGCTTCCCTTCCTACTGGCATAAAAAGCTGGTCTAAGCGCTCCCTGGCAGCTGCGCGGCCTCTGACCCCCCACAGCTCTGCGTCTGGTGACATCATCACGCTGGGTTAGCGTTGATGATGTCTGACGTGTGTGTTCCAGGTACCTGATGAGTGTGTTGCTGCCCGAGCCCTCAGGACTGTAGTAGAGAACGTTCTCCAGCGACAGGGAGAAGGACAGGCCCTGCGTGTCGGAGATGTAGAGGTGCGTGGCGTTGTTTATGTGGTTGACGCACACAAACACCTGGTCCTCGGATGCATCTGCGATGTAGTATTCCTGTTGGGTGGATGGGCAGAGGCAAGACGTCACTCCAGGCCCCGTGAATCCCTCCCATCTGCGGGATTCTACCCCAACTTGATCTGAAGCACCTGGAATCATGGTAAAACTCACCGTGATGGGATGGCGGGTCATAAACTGGGCTGCTTTCATTGGCTGACGGTTGTAGGAGACCCAGAGCTGAACGGAGGAGGGGGTACGGCTGCCCAATAGTTTCTGTGGGGGGGAGCAGAGATCGCAGGCTTTAATTAACTCAGACTCAGATATCAGCTTAGATCAGAGCTTTTCTGACCAACAAACCAACAGACATTTACCTAAAGAAGCAATCTTTAAGAAAAACATGTAATTACTAAATTCAAGTTACATTGGAGTGCTAAATGATTTGTCGTAACCTCAGAAAATGTCTCCAATAACATCGTGAAAAGGTTCAAGTTAATTTTCACTTCAGGAACTGACTTCTCTTCTATGGACTATACATCTATAGATAAGAATGCACAGATAAACAAAGGTAAATATGGATGGACCGGACAAACAACCAAGTCTAAAAACATTGCTCATCTTTAATCCCTCCTTAAACCTCTTTCCCACTGAAAATAGCGGGTTAACGCGTTTTTCCAAACATGGTCGACCCGCTAACAATAAGCATCTGGTTCCTTTCCTACTGGCATAAAAAGCTGGTCTAAGCGGCCTCTGACCCCCCGCGGCTGCGCATCTGGTGACATCATCATGATGTGTGAAAGTAAACAATGGAGAGCAACATGTTAGGAAGCCAGGGCTGCCATGTTTATCCAATGGAAACAGAGTTGATTCTGCTTGTAGATCAGAAGCGACTGGCGCCGTGTGTCGACGTCAGTACGTTGCGTTCAATGTTCCCCCGGCATGCCGATTAGAACTGAGGAAATTTTAACGCGTGTTGCTTGCCGAGTCGTTTGACCCGGGTAGAAACGCATCAGCGAGCTGTTCCCACTGCCACTAAAAGCCCATTGTTCCTGGGTTTAAACGGGTTTAACGGTCAGTGGGGTCATAGAGGCCCCCAGTCACTTACTGACCAAGGTAAATATTTACCCCAATAACTAGCAGGTTAAAGCTTTCCATTAACTATGGGATCCTGTTAATTAGTCTATTTTATCTCTGTTTAAGGAGATTTACCAGAACCACGCCACATGATTGGAGGTCGGATTTTTTGGGCATGAGGAAACAACGTATTTTCCCAAGTAGACCCGAGTAAAAAAACTAAAATTAATAATTGGATATCAAGAGTGAAGAGGCACAAAACAATGGTTCCCAAGAAATGGGTAGTATGTGATGGAGTTTAGATGTTGTTGGAAAATTTAGATTTCTCTTCTATTATATATTAATTTGTCCTATTTACTGATTTGATTACTCAAGTTTTCACTCAGTCTGATTCACCTTGAAGGCCACACCATTCTCTGCAGGACAGTGTTTGTAGACCAGACAGAGCTTCTTCCCATAACAAACCAGATTCTTTCTCAAAGTTTATTAATAACATGTTACTGTTTAACCAAAGTGTCTGTAATTTGTTTGGACTGAAAACTTTCCATTGTTGTAAGTAAGGGGGAATGAACGCTGCCCAGGCAGAACAGGGCTGAAATACCAAGCAGTAATGGCTGGATGATGAACTGTTCTCTCTTTGCAAAGATAAGAAAATAATGTGCCGACTGAGTGAAATCTATTGATCTCCGTTTATTTAACTGGGGTGAATAGTTGAATACTTTTTTTCTCACGACAATGTTAAAGCTGCTGAAGCTGCAATGGATGCGTGGGTAGGTAGTGCCAGCAGATGGCGACGGCATACAGCGAAATTAGCTGGTCAGTAGGTGACAGGGCTCCTGTAAAGGGGATGTTTTAAATCTACTTGCCAGTAGCTCGCTCTGGTTGCAAAGAAAGTATTTCTGAAAAATGACCACTTCCTGTTGGCATATTATTGTTTTTTTCTGTATTTTATGCTTTATCTTTCATAAATTTGTTAATAAAAAAGCCCTTTTTGTGTGTTCTTCCAATAACTCCATATAGCCGCAGCTAAGACACTGCACATGCTCAGTTGGTAAATAAGGAAGTGAAAAGAGAAAAAAAAAGCACACCATGTTTTTTTGTATTATTAATTTTATTTTTTTAATTGCAAACGACTTGGGCTACGTTCACACTGCAGCCTGAAGTGACCCGAATCAGATTTTTTTTGCCCGTATGCGACCTGGATCTAATCTTTTGATGACAGTCTGAACAACTCAGATCCGATTTTTCCAATGTTATCCAGGCCACTTTGCTCTGTGGTCCTGAATCCGATACGAAGCTGATCTGTTCAAATGTGACCCGTGTCTGAACAGCCAGGTGAATGCTGACCTGAATGCCATTAATATCTGACAAAGGTCACTATTCATCTTGCTACGCAGAAGCAGCCAGAAAAACAACAACCATGGTGGACGATGATGCGGGGAGCAGTATTTAATATTGAAAAGATTGTGTTTTCAAGGTTGGGAAAGATCGCTAGATGAGCTCCAGCGCTACCATCCATGTTTACTTCCATAAACACAGAGCAGACTCGCTATATGTGACATCATTATGTCCTCTACTGTGTATGCGCGACAGTGCATAATATGAATGAAGTTCACACAGGAGATCACATAAAAGTCGGAAATGTGAACAGAAACGCAAAAAAAACTAAACAAAAAAAAAACAGATTTCACAAAACAATTGGAATTGAGCATTAAGGCCTGCAGTGGGAACGTAGCCTTGGAGTTTGATCGAGCGTCCAGATTTCTATGTTTAAGCATTTTTAACACTTTAACACTTTTGCTGTGAACGCAGCTTTAAGCAGGAGCTGAAGTAGAGACTGACACGGGAGTGGATTTTCACTCCTGTCCCGTCCCACTCCCTCAGAAAAAAATTGTGTCCCGTCCCGATCCCGGGCCAGAGTAGAAATCTAAATCCTGTCCCGTCCCACTCCTGGTGAAATTACTCCCATCCCACTCCCATTCAGAATGACTCCCGCTCCTGCACCACTCCCATTCTTGTTTTTGAGCGCGGGTGAAAAACTCAGAGCGGAAGCACTGTTGGTTTTTGGGTCGTGTAGTTTTTTTTGACTCGCATTATAGTGTAGGCTTCAAGGAAAAAAACTACAAAATGGCGGCGCCAGTACTGGATTTTTTTTCTTTCTATTTTATTTTTTGGCATCGATCCTAGTTTTTCCCGCTCCCGTCTGCTCCCGTTAATGTTTAATCCTGTACCGTCCCAATCACGTGATCGTTACTAATACTGACTCCCATCCCACTGGAATCTCACGGGAATCCCGTGACCCATGGGATTCCCAAAAAAATGTCAGTCTCTAAGCTGAAGCTGCCAGTAGATGGCGCACACGTCTGTTTATGTCTGTCAAATGCACCCGCTGCAGGAATTCTATTGAGTCTCATAAAGGACGATCTAAACACCATCAGGATGTGTTTGGTTTATATAAACTTATTTTATCAAGATCAAATGTTTTTTTATCTGAAGAGACATTGACCGTAAGTACGACCTTTTAACTTAGCTGGGATTTTAAATTTCAAAGTTGATGATAGGATTTCTGGAAACAGACTGAGCCAGTAGTTTGGGGTGTTACCACTGATCTCTATTTATTCACTCGATTGCTGATTGGCCGAAAAAAGTGAAGCCACCGCCCGCTATGTTGGTACTCCCCACTCCCACGGAGACACGCAGCAAAAATGCCTCCCTGAGCAGCATTGGGAAAACGTTCCACAGATAATTTCCCAGTGAGTGGATGAACTAAATAAATCCATCTATAGGATAGTCTGTAGACTAACATTAGTCTGGCTATCTGGGACTGACTGGAAGACATTGACTGAGTTAGACACTGACATTGGATCTAAGGTTAGGCAACAGAAAGGACAGGAAGTAGAAACTAATTCACTGTAAAATGTCAATGTAGTTATTCTTTATTAACGTTTTTAAAGGTTATGTGCTGAAATATATTGCAGGTTATATTGACGGAAAAAAAAACAACCCAAACATTTGATCCATATCTTTATATATATATATATATATATATATATATATATATATATATATATATATATATATATATATATATATATATATATATATATATATATATATATATATATATATATCAGGGCTCAATGTTAACCGGGCAAGTGCACTCAAAATTACTTTTAAATCACCGACATTCGCTTAAAAAAGGACCCAGAAGCGTTGCCGGCACCATTTTTGTTGTTTTGCACACATTCTCGCGTGATTTAAAAAAGCTGCAAGATTTTCCGCCAGATGGCGGGATTTTTGTCCGGGAATTGGCGCGAATCAGACACATTTTTTTCGACTTGGCAGGCTAAGAAACAACAACAAGGCAATAAAATGTGAGTACAGTAACACACCCACCACCTATTTTACCCTCCACCCATTTCACCCTCCACCCAGATAACCCTAGATTAAAAATGATCGGTCAGGGATTAGGAAAAATGGCATAATTGTTCGCCATGCGCACCGTGTAAATATGGCTATCATATGGCAGTCTTCTGCACAGTGATGCAGGTCATACATTAAAAAATGTTCATTAAATGTTTTTCTCTCAGACATTGGAGAGGTGCATTTAAATGTTATAGAGCTAAACATGTTAGATTGGTGACCTGTTATGTTATTATTATTGTCTTGTTGCTGCATTTATTTTGTCAGGGAAAACTAATCCTGATTCAGTTAAAAGTCAGGGAATTCTCAAATGATGTCAGACTGTGGAAACCCTGAATAAAATAACTATGGATAATGATTCTCTAGAAAAGTCACATTATATTAATAGTATCATCTTGTATAAACATACCGTGACTCTAAAATAAAAGTTATTCATTTGTGACATTGACTTCTGTCTTGTGATTTATCTTAAGTTTTTAACCTGTGCTTTTTCTTCTTCTAATATATATAAATATGGATGTCTCTTTAGAACCGCACTGAGCTTTCAGCTATGCAGAGCTGTGCAGATCTACACACCAGCAGGGGAGGAATCTGCCAGCGATTTGTAACTGTCTGGTATGTTTACTGAACTGCGAAGGAAACCATGTTTGAGAAGCCACTATAAAAGCATGCAGGGCTTTGAAGAGAGGAGGAAATTGTGATGCAATCACCACTTCCTGTTTGCATTTGATCCATCTTAGACCATCTTTGCAGACGATCTGCAGCCTAAATGAGGATGA